AATCCCATTTAATTCCAGAACCCCTTAACATGACACCACTAAAAAAAAAGTAGATGTTGTGGAACATTCTAATAAATTTTTGACAAAAAAAAACTTTTTCATTCGATTAATCGAATACCTGCAACCGTAATTGAGTGCATCCTCTGCTGAAATGACACCGATATTTTGAGTTCTGTCAACCCAAATCCGATTGTTTGTTAAAACGTCGTCAACATCATCTAAAATTGATCCAAACTTTGTTAAAAATTGATGAATATCGTCCATTAATCCAAGTGGCAGATCCTAATTTAAAAAAAATTTATTTTCGTGTAATTATTATTAAAATAAAAACATTCGAGATACTTTTTTATTAAAAAAACAATTAATTACTTGGCTAACTCCTCCTGGTCTAATGTATGCCGCATGCATACGAGCTCCAGATACTCTTTCATAAAATTCCATAAGTTTTTCACGTTCTTCGAAAAACCAAAAAAAAGGAGTCAAAGCACCGACATCGAGAATATGAGTTCCAATACCCATTAAATGATTTAAAATTCTCGTTAATTCTGCAAACATGGCTGAAATAAACAAATTTTTTTTTTTTTATACAATAATATATAGCAAAATCAATACAATGAACTGAAAGATTGTAGTTTTTAAAGTTTGGCTTTATCATTAAAGTCAACTTAAGCTTACTTCTTATATATTTCGCTCTCAGAGGCACTTCAATATTTAGAAGTTTTTCAACTGCAAGCGAATAGCACTGTTCATTACACATCATCGAAACATAATCCAGCCTATCGAAATATGGTAAAGCTTGAGTATAAGTTTTATATTCGATTAATTTTTCTGTTCCTCTGTGAAGAAGACCTATATGTGGATCACATTTTGCTACTCTCTGAAATTTTAAGAATTGATTAATGTTTGTAACAAAAATTCAACAATATGATTCTCTGAACTTTAAAATTACCTCTCCTCTCAACTCTAAAATTAATCTTAGCACACCGTGAGCAGCTGGGTGTTGAGGACCAAAATTTAAAACAACATTTTGAATTTCCGTATTTGGTTCATCATCCAAAAATGGATTGTATTTCTCTACTGTATCTCTATCTATAAGAGGTTGCGGAATAGGATGGTCTTTCCTATATTCTTCAAAATACCTTCTATCAGGGAACCATTTATTGTGACCCCATCTTTTACTCCTATTAATCAAAATGAAAATAAATAAATAGAAAATTACGTTAATTAAATTATTTAATTTAAAACCGTTAAAAAATTATCAAAAGTAATTACGTTATTAAATAAGATGGTCCACATATCGGTTGTAATGATGAGGGTGAGTTTGATATTAATTTTGGGAGTTTTTTAAGTACTTTAGAAATGAAAAACTCCATATTGTGAAAAAAAAAAATCAACTACAGATGAACGAGTCGACTTCTGCCACGGTTAAAACAATGTTGCCAAATTTTAACTTTTACAATAGAAAAACATTATCAACTTTTACTCTGCAAATTAATATAATTTTTTTTTTTTTTATGTTTTAAATTTTTAACAAAATGATAAACTTTAATAAATTAATTAATTATCTCTTTAGCAAAAAACTAAACAAATTCAGTGAAAATTTACATTAAACAAACATAAAATTTAATCGTTTTAATTAAATATTTAAATAAAGCATTTAACAATTTTTTTTTAAGTTTCAAGTTTAATGTATATTTCTAAATTTTGTTTTTTTTTTTTAAATAATTTATTTAAACAAAATAATACAATTTTAAATAAATATTATTAATTAATAAATTGTATTCCAACGTAAAATTTATTTTGATTCATTTTAATGGTTTAAAAAAAAAACAATAACGAATTATGACCATCATTGTATATGGCAAAATACATAATTTTTATTTTTTTTTTTAATATAAGCACAATGACTACTTTTATAAATATCATTTTATATTAATATATTACACAAACAATTTTCCCTTCTTTTCTTTTTCTCATATAAATTAATTCTTTCTAGTTTTCTTTACTATTTTTATTATTATTATTATTATTACAATATTACATTTATAAATACAATTTTTTATTAATGGTTTTCTAAATAAATTAAATAAAGTCTACATCACATGCAATAGCTGTAAAACATTATAAATATTTTGTTATTGTTACAATAATAATAAAAAAAATTATTTAAATAATTTATTAATATATATAATAATAATAATAATAATAATAATAAGTTATGGAATAATTTATTTCTTTTAATGGAAAGGAGACATTAAATTAAATGGGGAAAGTTAAATAAAGTTTTTCTTTTCCCCCCCCCCCCATTTTTAACGAAATAAAGGGTGATGGCGATGATGATGATGATGACACAATAGATAATTTTTCAATTTAAAAAAAAAAAGGAAATATTGTTTTTTTATAGCTGAATATATATAATAAATAAACTGCCGATAAAATGAGTAAATGAATTTTAAAAAATAAAATTTTTATAAAAGTATACATATATATATATATCGGTTAAATCTTCACTTCAGATTTTCTTTTTTTTTCTTTTTTTTTTTTTTTTTAATTGTTTTTTTAAACGAATTTTTTTCTCAAATTAAAAAAAAAATAGTGTTGATAATAATAATAATAATAATAATAATAAAAGTAATAATTAAAGGTTTTTTTTTGAAATATCATTTTCAAAAAGGCTTTGTGTAGATCAAACTCGATGATGCGACAACATTATTTAGTACCAAGGAGAGAAAACCTAATTTATATATAAATCCTGCCAAGAACTATTATTATTATTACATTTAACAAAATGTGAGAGAGTTAATACGATTTTTATCAAGAGAGAGAGAGAGAGATGGAGAGGAAAAAAAAAAGTTATTACTATTATTTTATCTCTCGGTAAAAAAAAAGAAATTACATAGGCGTGATAGAAGGATAAGAAAATGAATAATATGGTGGATTGTTTTCTGCATAAAAAGAACTAGACAAATTTTTCGTTTGAGGAGTTTTAACAGAAGGTTGAGCATCCATTAACAGCTCTTGATCGGGTGGTACTCGCCTCACTTTTGAATTCGATTTAAGTAAAATTGATATTTCGGTAACGAAAAATTTTGTTAATTTAATTACCGCCCATTGAACTGCATACTGGAAAACTAAGGCTCCAAAACCTTTGTATAATCCTAAAACACCTTCTTGTGATATTGTACTCTCATAACAATCAACCATTCCTTCGTAATTTGTTAGAATCGGTATCACTCCCATTCCAGAATCTAAATTATCGACTATTGTTCTAGTTCCTTGTAGATATAACCTTAAAAATTAATTTGAAAATTGCATTTCTAATAATTTTAATAATAATAATAATAATAATAATAAATAAATTATTAACTTACCTATGCAGTATTGTTTCTAATGGATAACATATGACATCTGCAGATAAACTTCCAATGAATGAAGAAGTATTTTCAATTTCTTCATTGGAAGCTTTGCTGATAATATCTTTGTGTAAGGCTCCCTAAATGTGAACACATAATGTAAATAATTTTAGTTTTTTATGTAAAAATTCCGAAGAGTGATGTAAATAAATAAATAAATGTCTCACCCTTTTCTCTTGTTTGAAACGATTTCTTAAATGAATGGCTCGACTTGCGACATTTTGCACGACCACTTTTAAAAGGTACCTTAAAAGGCCACAAACAACTGTTGGAAATATCAAAGCCCAGACAGGAAGCATTCTACCTTTTTGTGGTGTTCCCCATCTCACAAGTCTAAACATTCCACCTTTGAATACATCGAAAACTCCAGGTTTTTCACTTGCTATATCACTCTGAACAGTTTCGACCAAACTAGCTGAATAAAAAGGTGTCATAAAAGCTAAACTCACACTAAAATAACAAAAAAAAAAAAAAATTGTATTAAAAATCAACCAATGAGAAATTTAGTTTTTAGTTGTATTAAGAGCCAAAAAAAAATTAACCTTTTTAATAATATATGTTGACTTAAGGTTTTTAATGAACTGTGCCATGTTATCTCCCTACGAAAAAAAAAAAAAGAAGGTAGAGTAAGACATTTTAAACTTGTACTAAATATTAAAATCATAAAAAAAGAAAAATTTTAAATGATTAAAAATAATTAAACTACCATTTTGAATAATTTAAATTATTTTAATGTTCACACTAACTTGGGCCATGGAGTTACTTTTGAAAGTAAATCTTCGATTGCTAATGACATTCCTTTGATTAATAATGAGCTTCCGAGACCTTTCCATAGCGTTGTAAATCCTTGATTTTTATGTAGCCTTACAATGACAGGTACTAATGTGATGGCTAACGTATGATTTGCTTTTGAATTATGATGAACTTGACATTGTCTTCTCAGTACGACAAATGGATGACTTAATAAATGTTCAGCAATCAATGTTGCTATGCTAACACTAGGTCCAACATGTTTCGAAACATCAGCATCTAAAAACAAAAATTTTATAAAATTTTAAGACTAAGTAATCGTTTGTTAAACAAATTCGGGCAAAGAGTTATCGAATAATTCAATATTGATAACATAAAATAATTTTACTTAAAAAACCAATTTATTACTTCGCAGTATGAAAAAAATAAAATAAAATTTACATAAATAATAATAATAATAATAATAAGAAAAATTTTCAACATGAAACTGCGTTCAATTAATTGATAAAAAAATATAAAAGAAAATTTTTATTGTACTCCATTTCTTTTTCACAATTCAATAAATATTTTGTAAGGTTTTTGAAAAGTCGTTACGACGTAGAAATCATTATAAATTTAAAAATAAACATTTATTTAAATATAATAAACAATTTAAAAAATTTATTACATTATCTATCGATATTTGTTATATTACCTTCTTCAACGCCAGGACTAACGACAGTTGAGTTGGTTGATAGATTAATAGGTAAAACGTTAAGCTCATTCGGTCTCACTCTTTGTTGATTTGCTTTCCTTTCTAATTCAAGGTAACTCCATGGATCTGAAAAATCCGAGGAACCGACTTGGCGATCTAAAGCACCAGCCATTTTGAAGGACACACACACACACACGGTTGACGTGTCAGAAGACAAAAACGATTACCCGCCATATTTCCAACAACCGAACTTTTATAAGAAAATAAAAATAAACCGAACAAAAATTTTTAATAATAATAATAATATTGTCTATTTTTTTATAACGAATTTTATGTAAATAATTAATTAATAATAATAATAATAATAATAATAATAATAATAATAAGTGTAATAATAATAATACTCAATGTAATAAATAACCATTTATTATAATTAAATTTCTCCTGAGTGATAAAAGAAGAAGAAAAACAAATTAAAAAAAATCCATTTGATTTGTTTTTTTTTATCAGAACAAACAAACAAACAAACAAACAAACGAACAAACAATTATAACGAAAAATACAAAAATTCGATATCCGTTGGTTTTTTAAATTTTTTTTTTAAGGTTTTTTTATAACTTTTGACGACTACATTCGTGTGACGTAAATAAAATAAATAAATAAATAAATAATAATAATAATTATTATTATTAAAAAAAAAAGAGCTAGAATTTTTCATATAATGATATATAATATATATTGTAAATTTTCCCAATCGGTCCTTTTATCATTATTATTTCTCTCATTTTATTTATTCTAAATTCTTTTAAAATATTAAATAATATATTAATAACTTATTATTTTTTCTAAATGTGTATATATATATATATATTTATTTATTTATTTATGTATTTATGTATTTTTTTTTTTTTGTAAAATAATAAGAATCCGTGCTTTATTTAATTTTAAATAATACATACTAATATTTTATTAATATATATTTATATAATAAATATTTAATATTAATTATAATATATATTTATTTAATTAATTTATACACAAAAGAAAAAATTAAATTAAATAATAATAATAATAATAATAATAATAATAATAATAATAATCATTCGGTTGTGAATTTTATTGAAATTATTTTTTTTTTTTTTTTTTTATTAAAGATCCTTTCTCTTAATTTTTTAATAATAATAATAATAATTATGAATTTGGAATAAATAAATAAATAAATATATATAATTACGAGTAATATATTATTATTATCATCATCATCATTATTATTAATAACGTGTGATTACTTATTACTATAAAAATATATTTAATTAACGTTCGGTGATACGCATGTTTTCCTTTTTTTCCTTTTTTTTCTTTTTTCCTTTTTTTCCTTTTTTCCTCTTTTTCCTTTTTTCCTTTTTTCCTTTTTTTAACATTTATTTAATTTTGTTAATTTTCTAACTCTTTTTTTTTTTTTTTTTTTTTTAAAGTTATGGATTATAATTTTTTATTTTTTTGATAATTTTTAATTTTATTTAATTGATTTGAATTTAAGCGTCATTTGGCATCGTTAACGGATGTCGTGGCGAGAGTAACGGGAGTCGTGGATCTAGAATTCGGCCTGCATCTATTTCCTCTCGTTATTGTTCCGCTCACTCCGTTTCCACTTCCGGTTCCCGCATTATAATTACTATTACTATTTAGGAGTACGTTATTGCATTTTTTCGTCGTTATATTATCCGCGTATGATTTATTATTATCTACGTCACCGTCGTGACGATTCAAAACGTGATTTTTAATCCTTCTTATGTTATCGATATTTATCATTTGACTAGATATGTTTGGTAATAATCGATTATTGATTCGATTCGATTCCGCCGTCGTCGTAATCCTATGTAATTCGTTTGTTTGATGATCCATTGATTTTTCACATTGGTTGTTGTTGTTGTTGTTGTTGTTCTCCGTACGATTTTTTTCAACGTCCATCATTTTTTCCTTTTCTTTTTCGTTTCTTTTACTACCCTCCTCTTTCCTATCGTCGTATCTACCACCACCACCGCCACCGCAACGATTTTCATCCGTTGATGAATACCTCCTATTCCTATCATCTATGAAATTCCTTCTTTCTTCCATGACGTTTCTATTCCTATCGTCTATAACGTGTCTATTACGATCCTCCGAATCGAATCTAAATCCTAAAATTTAAATTACTTTCACGAAAACGAATGTTATTTACAAATAAATGTTTTTTTTTTTTTTTTTTTTTTAAATCGATTTACGATTTCATCATTTCTAACCGAGAGGTAAATGCCTTCTATCCGTCGAACAACAAACTTGATGATGAGTTTCCCAATCCCTATGTTGACAATACGAACCGCAATACCTGGCTATGTTGCATCCCGAACACGTTTCTTGCGCTTTTCTACCGCAATTCCAACAAAGCTGAAATCAATTATTATTATTATTATTATTATTATCATCATCATCACGTCTGGAATTATTGAAAAAAAAAAAAAAAAAAAACCCGTTCGTTTCCGTACATTTTGCGTTCCACCGGATGTTTCCGTCGCACTACTACTCTCTTCCCCATCATCATTTTTATTTTTATTATTATTATTATTATTATTATTGTTATTATTTTTAACGACGACTCTTTCTAATTCCACGATGGCTTGTCTCTTGACTTCGTTCACGGCTTCCTCTAAAAATTTAAATAAATTAAAAATCTATCGTGAAACCGGAAGTTCATTTGTTGTTCGGTACTCACCCGCTCGTCTTTTTATTTCCGCAATTCTTTCTTCGGTAACTCTTATTATTTCATTTGCCGCTCTTTTTATATCGGATTCGACTGTTATATTTCGATCTCTCGTTTGAAGAATCGATAAAGCTCTTTTTGTTTTTTCAACCATGCTCAATATGCAATTCAACATCTTAAAATCGATCAATCGATCAATCAATCAATCAATCAATCGTACATCGTTTTTAATTTTATTTATGTATTTATTTACCGTATTTATATTTTTCCATTCTTCGTCTCCCGATCTATCCTCTCTCCCTCTCAAATTACTTAAATCCTGATGGGATGAATGATCGTTGTTCCCGCTGCTACCACCGCTACCGCCCCCCACGAGAAGATGAGGGGGAGCCGATTGATTTAAACTGTTAAGCAAATGAAAATTCGAACCTAAAATGCTGGAATTGAATGTTGACGCGTATTGATGACTTCCGTGTCCGTTAATTCCCGGAAATTGAAAATTATAATTTCCGACGGATGGTGGAAAATTTTGGAATGTCGATAATGGATTTAAACCGGTGCCGAATAATGTTGGCATCGTTTGGGAATGTTGAAGTCTTTCTTTTTTTTGAGGTGGCGGTGCCTGTTGCTGCTGCTGTTGCTGCTGTTGCTGCGGATGTTCAGAATTTGAATTTTCTTTTCCGCACGAAATTCCATTTTCGTATATGCTAAACGGAAAAAACAAACGCGTTAATATTATTATTATTATTATTTAACGACCGGAAATAATTAATAATTACCTATCCGAATGTTTTCTTTTTCCATTTTCCGACGTTTGATCCGAATTGAATATTTCTGAAGGTTCACTCGGGGAAAATGATGGATCGAGAACTAATTGTTCGTGATGCTTTAAATATTGACTAGTCGACTGAAATTAAAAAAAAAAAAAAAAAAAAAAAATGGCGGTGGTGAACGTTGACGTCACATAAAGTGTCGCGTGAGTGTCTCAAAGGAAAATCGTATACATATATATATGTACACATACGTGAATTTACAAAGGTTTTAAAAAGTGGGAGGAGACGAAAGGAGAAGGAAACGATATTGTAACATCAGTTAGCTAGTAGTAGCACCAGCTGGATTTAAAGAGAAAAGTAGAAGAAGGGAGGAAACAAGAGTTTGATGAAAAAAGAGGAAGAAGATTGGTAAGGTTTAAGAAAAAGTTAAAGGAGAAGAGAGCAAGAAGAATCCGGGAATGAAAACGGAAGTTATTGGGGAGCGGGGGGAGCGAGGGGAGAAAGGGAAATATTGAAACTCGCGGTGCTTAAAAGTCCAGATGCTACCAAAATTCTACAGAGAATTTAAAGGAAAAGAGGAAAAAAAAAAAAAAAAAAAAAAACTTTTTTATGCAAAACGTTTTTTAAACGTGCGGCACGTGTGGTTGATCGTTCGGGGAGTTAAGGGGCCTCCCCGAACGAGGGGAGAGGAGGGAAAATGAAAAAGACAGAGAGAGAGAGAGAGTAAGGGGCATGACCACGGCTGGCTGGCTGACTGGCTGGCTGGTTGGATGGCTGTTACATGGGGAATATTAAAAGGAAATTTAAAAAAAAAAAAAAATAAAACCTCGATCAAGGAAATTGGGCAACAGATAACGAGGAAAAAATTACCCAAATAGTAATAATAATAATAATAATGATGATGATAATAAATAATGAATAATCTATATGATATATGTATGATGATCCCACCGACTACTTAAAAAAATTATTTTTAACGGTTTCTATTAAATATTTAAAAAAAAAAAAGACATAAAAAAAATTTTAAATTTTTCAACGGTAAGAAAATAAATTTTTTTCAATATATATATATATATATATATTTTATTGAACAATATCAAGTTTGATATGTCATGCAAAATAATAATACAAGAAAACTTTTTATTATTTTTCATGTTTCTCCCCTCCCCCTCTTTTCTCCCTCTCTCTCTCTCTTCCTCGTGCGAACGTATTTTTTTATTGTACGTTTACGATTTTGAACTTATTTCTACACTTCTTACCCCCACTCCTACCCCTCCTTCCTCCTCCCCCAACGCGTAAACCCATCGAAAAAGAAGAAGGAATACGATTTTTTTCGTTAGAATCAACCGTAAGTCATAGAGTAATTAAACAAACGATGTCGTTGTTCGTGAAATAATAATAATAATAATTTCAAATTTTTTTTAAAGTGAAAAGTAAGGAAGAAAAAGGAAGAACACGGGAGAAGGAGGAGGATTCAAATTCTTGAATGATTTTTATTCTGGAAACCTTTTCTCGCGCGCCCCCTTTCCCCCTTTCCCCCTCCTCCCTCCCCCTTCCCATTTCCCTTTTCATCTCCTCTTAGATGGGAACGAGAGAGAGAGAGAGAGAGAGAGAAAAACTAAGATGTAAAAAAGATGTTAATTAAATGCAAAATCACGATCGGGCTTTTACCATTCAATGATTTTTTTTTTTTTTTTTTTTCCTCCTAAAGTTGTTTTGTTTTAGTTAAAACTTTTTTCTTTTTTTTTTTTGTTCGCTTGTATAAATAACCGCCATTTTTATTTCGTAGTGTGATTTTACAAGTATGTAAGTAAGGGAAGAATTAAAGAAAAAAAAAAATTCTCTCAATATTACGTGATTTATATAAAAAAAAAATTAAAAAACTTGACGTAAAGCTCGTTTCGATAAAAAAAAAAAAAATAATAATTTAATCATCATTAGTTTTACAAATGTGCGACACAATTCCCTCCCCCACCCCCCTCTCTCTCTGCCACTCTCTCCCCTCCATCATCATTCTCTCGTATAATACGTGAAAAAAAAAATAAATATAAAACTCACCTGTTTAGCTATCCTTGCTTGAAACGCCAATTCTTTTTGTAAAAGCGGAAGATGAGTTTTTAAAAATGGTAAAACGAATGGTCGAAGTGGGAAATTTGTCGCATCTTGTAAATTCGTATGAAATTCTTCTATCGTTAAATTACCATTCTGAAATAAATTTAAAATTTTCATTGAATTAATTTCAAATCCGTGGGGGTCCTTCCGGTACCGCGTGTATGAACGATTTTTGTACTTACCACCATGCTAAAAACTAAATTTCGAACTTTGTCACCGAGTTCGGAATTGATTTCCGCTCCGAATTGCACCAAAGTACTTAAAAACCTCTTCAACTTTCCTAAATTGGGTCTATTGGATTGATTTAAGAGAGTCGTCGGAGTCGTCGTCGTCGTCGTCGCATTCGTCGTCGGCGGCGAAGAGGTTCCCGTATTACCAGGTGATAATGCCGACGTTGATGATGGCGGCGAAGTGTTTTGATGTTGACTAGATGTCACGTGACTTAATGACGGCGGCGTCGCGTTATGACTTTCTTCCGGACTACCAGGTGATTTTACACCTGATGAAAACAATTCCCTTATCAATAAATACTTCCTCTCAAGTTATGAATTTTTTTTTTGGGGGGGGTGGAGGGGGGAATAAAAAATTTTTAATTTTTTTTTTTAAATTAATTGTCCCGATCGGATGTGTTACAAAAATAATTAAATGTCGATATGAAAAGTGATGATGAGGCATCGTCGGCGAAATTCATTTTCGAAAAATTTTTTTTCCATCTCTCTCTCTCTCTCTCTCTCTCTAAATGCGTGAGGAAGAGGGGAGAAACAGAGAGAGAAGGGAGGGAGGGAGGCAAGAGGATAGAGTCGATGGTAACGAAACAAAATAAATTTTGTGGTGAACATGAGATAAGGGAAAAGCATGGCTTATCGTTTAGGCAAGAGCGAACGTCCTGAACAAACTTTAGGGTTGTGTGACGGGAAGCGTGCGGAAGTCTGATAACAAATTTTCCAAGCCCACGACGTTTTTAAATCTACAAATATTTGTGCCAAAAGGTCGGTTCGAGACCCCATTCAACTCATTTTTTTTTTTTTTTTAAAACTATTATTTACTTAATTAACGTGTATGTATATATATATGTATGACGTCATGACACACAATTTTTTTTTTTTCGCGTATGACGTATCGATAAATCAATCAATCAATCAATCAATCAATACATAAAAAATTAATTTATTATTATTATTGTATTACGAGTAAGTAAGTAATTCGTTTAAACGAAAAAAATTTTTTTTTTTTTTTTAATTATTGCGGTGAGGTTGAGTTTTTTTATAAAACCCCAAAAGGTTTTGATGCCTAAAGAGAGAGAGAGAGAAACCTTTCTAGGATTTCCTTTTTTTTTTTATTTCTGCTTCATTCCATCATCACCCTTTGAAAATAATCGTTTGTGTTTAGTTTTTTTTTTTTTTTTTTTTTTTGACTCTGAAACTTCGTTCATTTCATTTAAATCATTTACAGATTTTAACCCCAAAGGAAAATTAAACGTTTTTTTTTTTTTTTTTTGAACGGTTGGTATTCACTGACAGGAAAAGCTTTTTTTTTTTTTTCAATTTGAATCGAACGAACCTTAAAAGGAAAAAATTTTAAATGACGTACGCGAATAGGAAAAAAAAACCATAATTATTATTATTATTATTTTTAAAAAAATTTTCTTTTTCCCCGTGAAATTTCCCTCATTGAAAAAATAATAATAATAATAATAATAATTAATGGGACTACTATTATTATAAAACGATGGTTTTCAAGTGAGTGGTGAAAAACAAACGTCATTGAAAATATAAAAAAAAAAAGCATAAACAAAAGAAAGCAATATTATTATTATTATTAAAAGAAAAATAGTGAAGAGCGTCAAAAAGAGAAAAGTAAAAAAAAGAAAAGAAGAAGAAGGAGAAGGAGAAGAAAATTCATAAACATTAAAAAGTTTTCGATGAAAATGAAAAAGAAAATGAAAATGAAGGAATAGTTTTTTTTTTTTTCGATTTTTCTTTTTTTTTTTTTTTTTTAAATAGAAAAAGAGAGAAAGAAATGAAAGAAATGAAAGAAAGAAAGAAAGAAATAAAAGAAAGAAAGAAAAACTCATCATTTGAAATTTGAATTTGAGTGTGACGTCGTCCATTGTGTTCAAAAATTTTAATTTCCCGCCCACCTCTCTCTCTCTCTCTCTCTCTTTCTCTTTTTTGTTTGAACTTTCCAACGAGTCCCATCATCATCATCATCATCATTATTATTATTACTTTCCCCGAAAAATTATTTGAAAAAAAAAATTTTTTTTTATTTATTTCTTCTTCCACGTTATTTATTAATAGTAATAATAATAATAATAAATAATAATAATAATAATAAAGTTTATTATTAAATTTTTCTTTTATCATTTTTCTCTTGAAATTAAATCCTTACCGGAAAATTTTCAAACTCAATTAATTTCGAATCGTATTTAAAAAAACCGTTAAATTATCATTATTATCATTATTATTATTATTATTTATAAATCAATCGAAGAGTTTTTTTTTTATAATTAAAATATAATAAAAAAAAAATTGTTTTGTTCCGAGAGAAAAGTTTAAGTATTAATGGAATGATGACACGCTTTATTTATTTTCTACTTTTTTTTTAAACCCTCCCCTTCTCCCTCTCTCTCCTCCTCCCTCATCCAACCTCCCCTCCACCCCCTCCTCCTCCGTTCAAACAAGGCAGGACCTGAACTGACTTAGGTTTAAAGGGGTTTTGATCGCGTAATCTCTTTTTATAATGGTATTAAAGAACGGTATGTGAAAATATAAGTTTTTCCTATTGTTATTTAAATTCCTTTTTCAGGTGTAAAAAAGGTAACAAACAAAAATAAAGAAGAAACGTAACAACAAACAACAAACAACAACAATAACAACAACAACAGTTCGGTCGTTAAAAAAAAATTTTTTAAATTTTAAATCGTGGGAAATTTTCTTTTTTTAAATAAAAATTTTCCTTTTTTTTTTTTATTTTTATTTTTGTTGTTTTTCTCTCTCTCTCTCTCTCTCTCTCTCTCTCTTTTTACTCTTTTACAACTCCATATTGTTTCTTTAAATAATTTACATTTAAATTTAAAAAAAAAAAAAAAAAAAAAAAGGAAAAATTAAAAAAAAAAAAAGAAGAAAAACCGGAAAATTTATTAAAAGAAAATAAGAGGGAAAATTGGAAAAATGCCGGAAGGAAAATCATATTTAAATGGATATCCGTATAAGTTAAAGTTTATATATGGAATGACATTCAACATTGAGCCCGGAAACGCGATGGTGCTGCGCCCGTGGTGTTTTTTTTTTTTTAGTCAGATGGCAGCATCGTCGGCGTAGGCGCCCGTTTCCTACTTTTTCTTTCACCCCCCTCACCCTTCCCCACCCCTCCCTTCCCCGCGTTCCCTCTTTCCCTCAAACCTCGTTTTTTACTCCCTTCCTCTCCTTCCGTAACCTCTCTCTCTCTCCTTCTTCTTTGCCCTCCCCCTTTCTCTTTCTCTCTCTCTCTCTCTCTCCCTCTTTTCACTCTTTCTCTCCGCGGCATATCTCACTCCGAAAAGAGAGTGAGTGAGTGAGTGAGCGGGCGAACGAGCGAGAAAGAGAGAGAAAGAAAGAGAGATCAAAAGAAATGCTGGAAACCTCGTCAGCTGTTTTGGATTTTGTCAAAATTATAATTTCTATAATACTCGCAGGGTTCGGAAACTTATTTTCCCGTGGAATTTTTTTTTTTCTTTTTTTTTTTTCTCCCTTTTCTCTTTAAAAAAATTTTTTTTTCTAAAATTTTCTTACCCTTTACATTTAAAAACTCCTGTTTTCTTTTTTTTTTTAGTTATCCCGAAAATAAATAAATAAATAATAACCACGCAGCCAGGTACGATAATTAATATTATGATTACGTTTTACAATTTTCCTTTTTTTTTTTAAATCATGCCATAGAATGTTAATACGACTCGTCTAAGTCATAGAGTATATAAATATCAAAATTACTTTTTCTTTCCCTTTTTATTAAATCATTTCTCGGAAATCAAATTTTTTTCCGTGTTCGAAATATATTAATAAATAAATATTAAATAAAAATCGGAAAATTATTAACACGCGCACACGAACACACGCGGCTACGATTACGTCAATTTTCTAGTTACACGACGTTAAATTTTAAACGTGCCACGTAACAAAAACAACGAAAGCCACGAAAATTTTTTTAAAAAAAAAAAAAGTATGAATAGAAACGTTTTTTTTTTTAAAAGCAGACGAAAAATAATTTTTTTTTTTTTTTTTTAAAGCAGACGAAAATAATAATGATTAATTATTTTAATTAATAAAAAAATTTAATTTCAATTCGTTTTCCTAAACATTTTTTCGGTATTGATTTGCGATTGAAATGAAATATTAATGTCGCGAGTGTTTACGCGAATGTAATTTAAAAAATAAAATAAAAAATAAAAAAGTGTGTCAGTAACAGAGAAAGAGAAAGGAGGAAAAAAGAAAAAAAGGAAGGAAAGAAAGAAAAAAAGAAAAAGAAAATAATAAAATAAAAGGAAAGGAACGGAAGAAAAGAAGAAAAACATTCTATAACCAGATGTCGCCTTCATCTGGCGCGAACCTCATAATAAAAAGATTTCAATGTTTCACTTACGCTAAGCTAATGAATTTTCCAGAAGTTTTCCAGTAAAAAAAAAAAAAAAAAAAAAAAAAAACTTACTTCACGCCGTATATGCCCTGTCAATTACATACACACACACACACACACACCTCTTTCCTTTTTTCCACTTTTTTTTTTCCTTTTTCTTTCCTTTTTTTCCTTTTTTTTTCCTGCTGCTCTTGCTACACATAAATTACTCGGTTATTAAGAAAATTTGAACAAATAACTTATTACTTTCTCTCTCTCTCTCTCTCACTCACGAATATTATTATTATTTTTTTTCTTTTTTCATTTTCTCTCTCTCTCTCTCTCTCTTTCTTTCTTTCTCTCCTTCTTTTCGTAACTTTTCTTAATTCTTAATAGGAAATTTTCCACCTTTTGTTTTTGTCATTACATCCGGCAAGTTTTCAAAATTTCCCTTGTGGTTTTATAACTACTTTTTTACTAATTAAAAATTTTACCGGTAAAAACGACCGGTTATTAATAATAATAATAGAATTTCGAACGTCCAATTTTTTCAGCGAAAACAAACAAACAAACAAACAAACGAACGAACGGGGAAAAAAAATATGGCGACGAAACAAAAAAAAAAAATGTTTTTTTTCGAACCAATTAATAAAACGGATATTTTCGTTAAGTACAAAAATTTTAAATGAGGTTGGCGCCCTTTTAACCTTCCTCCCTTTCTCTCCCTCACTTTTCCCCTCCTCTCCCTTCCTACTCCTCCCTTTATCCTCCCTCCCCTTTGCCCTTTACCCCTTTCGTTCTTCCCTTACGTAAACACGGTTTTTAACACTAATCCGTTAATTCTGATGAATTATATCAATTAAGTTTCTCCTTTCTTTTTAGTTTTTTTTTCAATGTTTTCCTTTTTCTATTTCCACGACAAACAAACAAACGATATTTATAATAAACGAAATAACAAAAAAGATTTTTTTGTACCGGTATTTTCTTTTTCGTTTATGTAACGTTTACGAGTTAAAATTATTATTTGACCACCACCACTACTACTACTACTACTACTACTACTACTACTACTCTTCAATCATCAGTTGAGATTGAATC